TAAGATTTGCAGTTCATGAATCTGATCCATTATAGGCCTAGTATCAAATATTTTAAATTCAAAGTACTGCAGAGCCAGGAATTTGTCAATACCTCGTTTTTCATTCTGGTATGCAGTTTGTAGAGCAGTCCAAATTTCTCTTGGTGACTTCAGATTGCAGTAAAGATCATAGAGTCGATCTGTCAAAGTATTCAGAATATGGCCGCGACACAACAGTTCATCATGTTCTCGTTTCTTCCTTTCTTCCTTGACTACGTCAGAATCTTCTGCTGTGGGCTCAGGCATCAGAGGCAAGGCAGAATCAAGAACATAGTAGATATTGAGAGCGGACAACAAGAATATCATCTTGTCTCTCCAACGGGTAAAGTTTGTTCCATCAAAGCGATCAAGTTTGATGAACTCCTTCGGATTCTCAACAACAGACATCAATTTCTCCATAGAAGAATAACTCTTTAAGATTGCTAGAAATAAAATAATCAAAATTGGCTTTGAGGCGTGAAAATCGACTATCCTTAAAGAGTTATTGCCTGTATACTAATTTAGGGAAAATACAAAACGATTCTCTTCAGGATACAACAAAGCCTGCAATAACACTTGTGATTTTCAATATACACTTCGTTGGAATTCTTGTATATTTATAGGCAACCAATAGACCCTTTCAGAAAAGATGTCTTGTTTCACAAACAGACACGACTATTTATTCGAATTTTGAATTTAAAATTCAAATAAATTTAATTTTTCTGTTAAAAATAATTAACTCTAGGATCTCGTGCCTGTTGAGTTAATCTCGTACCTGTTGAGTCAGTCTCGTGCCTGTTGAGACAATCTCGTGCCTGTTGAGACAATCTCGTGCCTGTTGAGACAATCTCGTGCTTGTTATGTGCTATTTCATAATGATCAGTTCCGAGGCTAACAGGCACGGTACGAGTAAGGTCGGTCCCGGGAGTGTTTCACATGACAGGCACGGAACTTCTTTCTTCCGATGTGGTAAGAATCCAACTTCCAACTTGCCAATAACAAACTATCTTACAGAAAGTATGATACTTATGGATTTACCGGATGCTTTGCTTGGTTAAGAATTTGAGTTTGACATTAGATTGTGCTGGGGACTTGGAGTACATCCATGTCAGTATTGACATGACTATACATAGTTAGTGTCACGATCCCAATTTTCTTCTGTAGAATATCGTGATGACCCTAGTCTCTAAGACTAGGTAAGCCCATTACTTACAAAGATTAAGCAGTTTTTAACAATGAAAATTTTAAAACAGATTTTAATATGAATACTGAAACAAAAGAGAAATATGCCTACGCGGCAATAATCGTAACAACCTCCCAAGACTAGTAATACAGATTCACAAACTCTAACTGAGTACATGGAAAGTTCTCAAAGCTCGAAATATAATACTGTTCAAATAACAAGCTGACAGTACAATGAAAGGAAATAACTCCAAGGAACTGCGATGACCAAGTAGCTCTACCTTGAATCCTTGCGATCAATAAGCTAACTCTGTCGGAGTCCGAGATCTCCAATACCTGGCTCTGCACAAAAATGTGCAGGAGTGTAGTATGAGTACACCACAATGAATACTAGTAAGTATCAAGACTAACCTCGCTGGAGTAGTAGCAAGGTACAAGTCAAGATACCTACTAGTCAAAATAATCTGTGCAGTATAGAAGTATAAAGCTAATAATGGAAGGTAGGAATCAGTAAATGGCAATAAGAATCAATGTGTGATATAAATATTAAAGCAACAAGAATACCGTGAAATTACTGTTGAAACAAAATAAGGAACACAAATGACGACCAATTAATCAAGATATCATTAATCAAATAACCGGGTTGAAATAACCAAGTAATTGAAGGAAATTATACGTGCATAGCAAAGGTGGGGAGAAGAAGTTATTCCGACTCGCTAAGGCGAGAGAGAGGACAACTCGGGATCTGGACCAAGTGAGGTACATAAAAGATGATGACGACAAAGTTTTGATGGGAGATGACCAGATTAAGAGGAGGTGGCAGACCTACTTTCATAAACTTCTAAGTGAAGAAGGGGATCAAACTATTATACTTGGGGAATCGAGGAATGCCGAAAGTCACCATGAATTAAGTAATTGTAGGGACATTGAGATCGATGAAGTCATGGAGGCAATGCGTAAGATGAGAAGGGGCAGAGCTACCGGGCCAGACGAAATTCCGGTTGAACTGTGGAGGTGTATGGGTAGAGCAGGCTTGGAATGACTTACTGCATTGTTTAGTGTTATATTCAAGACTAATATGATGCCTGAAGAGTGGAGGTGGAGTANGTATCTTGTAATTAACAAATTTTTTTATGCTTCCTCATGAATAAGACTCAGATTAGATCCTACGTCACTCTTCTAATACTCCATATAATATCGACAAATATATTATTCATCAGTTTTCAATCTCTCCAAAGTTTCAGTATTACAAGTGTCTCAAATAAAACATATTTTTAATGTTTGAATATATATTAATACAACCTTGGAGGCTCACATGAAATTTGTGATTTTCCTATTTTTATTTTGTCCTGTAAAACGCCTCGTAAGCATGGATGAAAGTCTTATAAATTTGAATGTTAGAAAATTGGACTGTTCTTGGGGACTAGACAAAAGGAATAAAATTATTTCTTCCTATTCTTTTTCTGTTTTATGTCATGTTTATTCACACTTTTAAGAGCTCGCCATTATATTATAAATTCAACTCATGAAGTCATGGCACGAAATATTTCAAATGTCTGTTAATAAAACTTTGAACCGTAAGTTAAAGATGAAACTTGTTTAATTAGGTAGGAAGGTAAAAAATACCGATTATTTGGTTTTTCAGCAATCAATGTGTTTGTTCCTCACTAGAAACAAAGTTTTGTTAAAGAAGCAAAAGTGATTATGATTTATCTTCCCTTTGATTAAGGAAGTAGGGAATGCTTTTAGGGAGTGTTGGATTAGGATTTAGGGAATGCTCTAAGATAATGGACTTCCCCATATGCTCCAAGAAAATACCACTATTATTAGAATAATAAAGCAAATCAAAAATAATGAAGAGAGAAAAGGGAATTTTCTTGTGCTAACTTCAAAAAATTATTTTTGGAACATTAAAGAAACTAAACTTTATTCGCTACAGAGGCCCGACTCTTATGTTATAGCTAGTAAGGCTTATGCCTTAGGGCTCCAAAATTTGGGACCTCCCCCCCCCCCATTCTTTAGAAATAATAGGTTTGTAGGATTTTATAAGTGTTAAGTGAAATATTACAAGTAGAAAATAATAATTTAATTGATATACTAAATCAAATAAAGCAACTTGATTCTTTTTCAAATAGTTATAGAATAATGTTAACGGTTCCTATAATACTTGCCTCATCGAAAAGAAGTTTTTCAAAATTAAAATTGATAAAATCTTATTTAAGATCAACAATTTCTTAAGAAAGATTAATTACGTTGGGTATATTATCAACTGAAAAGAAATTATTAGAAGAAAATCGATTATAAAATATTATCAACAACTTTGCATCACAAAAGCTAGAGAAATAGATTTTAAATAAAAATATATATTATTAATTTTTTTAAAAAAAAAATTAGGCCTCACATTAAATTTTAGCTTTAGGCTACATATGTGCTTGAGTAGCCCTTGTCGCTATAATAAGACACCAAAGTGTTTAACCAAAAATCTGAGTCTTTGGTCAAAGCTAAAAAGAAATTCGGGTTACTGATAATCAGGAGACGAAAATAAAATACTTTTGAGAATGATGGTAAAGCAGTAAATAGTTTTGTATTTCAGTAAGATCCCAATAGTATTTTGTATCCTCACAGATGGTGAATTCTTCTCCTTTTATAGCTAATTCTAGGAGAAGATGTAATGCCTTTGTCTTAATGAGGCAATTATGAGCAATAAATGACATTAAAAGAAACGTTACACAATCATTTCTTTTTAAATCAAATATTCTAACGTATTTGATATTTAATGCTGTATTTAGACTCTTTTACGTCATCAGATTCGTATCTTCAACTTCTTCCGATCTTCGGTCTTTAAATGACTTGGATAGGTACGAGACTCGTACCTATTTTAGTAACGGTCCGTACCTATGTTGCTTTCTTTTTCCCTTATCTATTGTTGCCCGTGCCTCTTGGCTATTTATTGTGTTTTGACCGTTTGACCAGTCCACGTGTCATGCCACGTCACCTACAATGTAAATTCAGTTTTTTCCCAATACAGATAGTCCCCCCACTTTTCATTTATTTATCAAGTAAATAATTGGGAAGTGGATCTTCATAAAAAGGGAATTTTTACCGTAATTAATATTATGACAAATACTGACGCTTCAATTGTCCCTTCCATTTAATGCTTTACATACGTGTCACCTTCTGATTGATTCTGCAATTCTACCCCCTTTTTTCGAGACTTCTTCATTCACACTATTCACGAAATGATAGTTGCCTTTATTATAGGCTTTCCTTCATTGCACTTCTAAGTTTGACGGTTGTCATTATAAGCATTTTTAACCCTCTTTCGTTTACCTTCTTCTTCATAGATCTTCAACAAGCAATTTCTTACTTACTTGTATTTTCTCTCCCTTTTAGTACATCCTTCTTCAACAATGTCATCTCCAAACCCTAACCCTAGAAAAGTTCCAATTCTTGATCACTTCCCCAATGCCCCTACAAGACATAGGAGAGGCAGAGGAGGTAGGCTTCGGAGCTTGGGCCTAGGGTCCGCTCGTGATGGTTTATCTGGTCCTGCTTCTTCTTCTCCTAGTATCGGGAGTTCTATTCCGAAGACCCCTTCTTCTAAAGGTAAAGAAATCCTTGATTCTTCTCAAGAACCTTTAGTCGATGAAATTGTTCCCAGTGATTTGTCTTTTGGGAGTGATAGAACGTCTCTTCAAAGGCAAATTGCAAATTTAGAAAAAGCTGACACTTATCCTTCATTAGTAACCGAGCTTACAATTCCTACCATCAGAAGGGATTGTAACTGGAGCAATATTCTTCGAATGTCAATTCCTTCCTCAGATCAAAGAATTTCTTCCTTTAGAAATGGTTACTCTTTTGTTTATACTTACCCATTTACTTTGGGTTTTAATCCTCCGATTGACCCAGTCATTATTAACTTTTGCCGTTTATTTAAAATCTGTTTGGCCCAAGTCGGTCCCCTAGTGTGGAGAGCAGTGGTTTGTCTGAGATACTTATCTGCCAAAGCCTATGTCGACTTCACCCTTTCTCACCTTATTCATTTATACCATCCCAATTTAATGCGCCATGGGGGTTTTTACCTTAACTGCAAGAAGCAAAAAGGTTTTGGTAAGCCCTAAAGATGACAGGGATCGTGGATGGTACACCTGTTACGTTGCTGTACGTACGGTGGACTTGCTTGGTGAAACAAATATTCCCTTCCTTGAGAAGTGGAATTTTGCACGTAAGTTTCCTTT